GGGTTATCATATATGTTATATGTGCAGCAGCAGTATTTCTTATATATATATATATATATATATATATATTAATTAACTTATTTAATGGAGTGTAGTGGAAGAGTCAGTGTTATTTTAGTATAATTTATATACTGCTGTAGTTTTGTTTAATATTTTGAATTAGATTTTATTTTTATATTTTCACTTTTCACTTTAATTTTAATTAAAGTTTTAGAAATTTTGTTCTGCTTTTTTATAATTTTTTAAAAATATGTCTACATAGTTTTTATTATTGTTATTTATTAGATTTAGTTTATTTTAGTACCTTAAACTATACGAAAATGAGAAAAGTTAACATTTATTTTATTTCAAATAACATCTATTTATGAATTTATTTTTAGTTAACTATAATAACACTGGGGAAAACACATTATGTCCTAAAAAGGTCTAATTTATGTCAAAGTCTTCAAAATAAATTAATTCCAATTCAACATCCTGGGTTTTATGTCATCAATTCAAATGAATTGATTAATTGAAAGGAATCTGATTTTTTTATTATATTTGTTGCCAACCTCTAATCTGTACTAATGAATTTGCAGACTACTGAAGTGAATTTTAAAGGCTTGCATAGCTTCTGAGCCCTAACCGAACAGATCTGAAATCAGCAACAGGTCAAAAAATTACCTGCGACTGGTGGTCCGAGCATTATACTAAATCCACCAAAGAACATCAAGATGCCATATGCCTCAGTCAGACGATCCATTCCCACAACTTTAGTGGTCACGTAGGGTATGACAGACCAGTTTCCAGAAAAAAACCCAAGCAGCGCTGAGATGACCCGCAGCCCAGCGTAGTTCTTGGTGACGGGGATTATGAGAAGAGCCACCCCTGTTCCCAGCAGAGTGAAGGTGTACAGAAAGATGCTGTTCATCCAGCGGATGTCCATCATGACGCCCAACAGCAGCTTCCCCACTCCAGCAGCAATGGACATGATGGAGACCAGCGGGATGGTGCTGATGCCGCTGATCAGACCCTCGGTCTGGGCCAAATCCTCCAGGAAGAGAAGAGGAGTGTACGCTCCCAAGCAATACGCGAACAAAGACACGCACGTGGCCAAGTAGACCCTGTTTTGAAGCAGCTCCGCCGTCTTGTGCAAGTATTCAGAGTACTCCTTCTGCTTCTTCTTCATGAGCCGCACCAACGCCGCGTAGCTCAGGAGGCTCTTCTCATACGGTGGAGGCTCTTTCGTCTCCCCTGTGATTAGTACGTTGACGGACTGATTTTTCTTGATTGGGTCCTCCACGACAGGGGCCTTTTCCAGAACCTTCTCATCGGCCTTCCCGGCCAGCACTGCTCTCTGTTTCAGGTAGTAGGCCGGCAGGTGCAGCGGTCTCATGAGTCCAGCACAGGCGATGATGTTTAGTGCAAAGCAGCCAATAAGCAAAAGACAGCCGTCGAGTCCAAAGAGTGCAATGAACTCGTTCTGCACAGTAGCGTAGAGAAAACCTCCAATACTCGTACCTGAAAAAAATGTGATGGTTAAGTAATATTGGGATTGAATTGTTTTAGTTTTATGGAATATCAATGTTAGTAGTTGTAGGGCTGCATGATTAAGCAAAATAAAACCGAAATTGTCCTATGGCTTAGTGTGATTACTAAATCACAAAGGCTGCAATTTTATTGAATAAATATATGGGCTGTAGTGCTGGGCGGTATGACCAAACATTTATATCACGGTATTTTTCTAAATGATACCGGTTTCACGGTACATTTGTTTAAGCGACATACACCGGTATTACGGTATTTTAAAAATTCATATCATAACAAAAATAAACACCGGTATTCGGTATGAACCGGTATACCGCCCAGCACTAATGGGCTGCATGTTTCAGAGTGAAGCGCAGCACTGTGTCGTTACACGTGAGCAGCTCATTATCCTCCAGTGTTTTTAGCATCTCAGAGCGGCTCGGTTTGCAGTAAATGTTGTTCCACACAAACTCCATCTCTGCATCTACTCAGAGTTTGGGTCACTTTAACATGTATTTGGGAACAATATATGCTCCAACTTCCAACCATTTTCCCATACTTCTAATAAAAAGCGCCTGTCAACAAAAGAGTTTTAAGCACCCTGTAGTCAAAATAAAGGTTTGATGGTTTAAAGTTTGAGAATGGGAAATTAATATAATATAAATATACACTTACTAATATTAATAACTATTAGTATTGAAATTTTACAGTTGTAATGTAAAATAAAACAAATGTTTATATATATATATATATATATATATATTATATTACAGTGAAAGATCATTTTAATCATTATTTTATTTTGTTTTTATTTAGTCATTTTTATATTTGATATTAATAATGATAATTATTATTTAATAATAATTAGAAATAATAATAATAATTATTATTATTATCATCTTACAGCCATGTTGATATATATTCAAAAAATGTTGGCCAAATAGTACAGCCCTACAAGCAAGTGTATTATGAACAATATATTTTTAATCACATTATAAATCACAATTTTTATCAGAAAAATCGCTATTCTTTCCTTAAATCATGCAGATTTAATATGGCTATATAGCTTAAATATGGCATCCATTTAAATAAATAAATAACTGTATTTATAATTAATTGAAGTTAAAAGCAGCTCGGTCGCTTTGGATAAAAGTGTCTGCTAAATGACTAAATAAATAAAATAATTATGCTTTTAGATCTGCCTTTTAGATCGGCATTTCAAATTAGTCATGAAAACTTAAACTCATGATTTTTTTTTTTTTTTTACTTGCTTTTAAACAGTATTGGAATTCACATATGCTCCATACATGTTGCCTGTTTTTTCTTCTCATATTCGATAAAATTCATAAATAAATAAATGATAAATTAAGCCTAGCATGTCCAAACATTTGACTGGTAGTTTATTATTTTTGACTAATCATATATTTACCTGTTGTAATGATGCCAAGAGCAAGACCGCGTCTCTTGTCAAAATACTGGCATGTGATGGTTACAGTAGCAGCATAAACAAGTCCACAGCCTAGTCCTGTACAATAAAAGTATGAAGTTAAAGAGAAGTCAGCAAAAAGGTTCACCTGCTCATAAAATATTTATTATAATCATATAAGCAAATATAATGAAGGTAAACAGATTTAGGAGGAAGCTTAAGCACAAGACTATCCTCAAATTCTAAATACCCCGCTAAACTACAGATTAAGTTAATAATAAATGTATAGTTATGTTATAGATTTTAATATGCTGATAAATTTGCAGAACTTTGAATGTTTTAGTGAATTTTGAGCAAAATTGTGAAACTAGGTTTTTAGAGATCGACTGATAATCAGTTTTATTTTTCCTTACTCAGTTTTGTAATATGTTACATAAATGCTTGATGTGTAGTTCAAGCTTGATGTTTGTTTTGCGATTCGGCCCGAATCAGTTTTCTAAAGTGTTTTTGAAAAATCACATACCCTGCCTTTAACAGGATGAATCTATTTATTTTGCCTTGTTATTATCATTGTTACTGCTGCTTTTGTTGTCATTAAAAACATGCTATGTAAATAGCGTAAAACATTAAATAAATATCAATTATGCATGTCGGTTACGGTTATATAAACATACAAATAATTGTCATTGCATTAGTTAAAAAAAAAAAAACAGAATCAGTCAATTTCTAATAATTTGAGCAATTTTCTGTATAATTTGTCATTATATCGACCTTCTGGCTTCTGAAAAACGCAAATCAATCAACCACCATTTACACACAGGTGGCGCAATGACCCAATTTAGAAAAATTAATCTTTCTAAGAGGAAATGTGAGATGCTCACCAACAACAATCCCATAGGAAAATATGAGAAACTGAACATTGGGTGCAAAAGCGCTAAGCATAAGTCCTCCAGAGACCATGACCCCACTGAAGATGGTCACAGGTCTGGCCCCGAAGTTCACAACACAAGCACTGCAGATGGGACCTGTGCAAAAGGAAGAATACATCATCCTGCTAGAGAATGGGGAAACTCGAAATAGAATTCAAATCAACAGCTGCTTAAAATGATCAGCTGTAAGCCGAGGCATAGAACATATTTTCTTTTACTACTGACATGGAGGAATAAGAAATAAAAGTACATTTTACATGAAAATACTAGATTTTTTTATCTCATGGTTAATTTAATATATTTTTTTGTTTAATTGTGAAATTTTACAAGCGATTTTTGAGTGAAAACTTTCTACACCGTTTTTTTTTTTAGTGTACTTTGAAGTTTAATTATGATCGTATGGAGCTGGAAAGTATTACATTCATTGTGGGTAATTGTGTTCCTGCTTAATGTTTACAATGGTATATTTACCAGGAAAAAGGCAGTTCCAGTCCAAACCGGTTGATGATGACAATACAGCAGTGACACGTGTTACCGGGATCATCTGCTTGCTTTCACATCTTAAAGGAACCATAGTCTATAATTTATATTTTTAAAGTGTATTTAGAATGTTTGTTATAGCACCAAAAAAAAAATTGAAATGAAGTCTGCCATGAATTATTCATCACCATTATGCTGTTTCAAACATATAAGATTTTCTTTCTTCCATAGAACACAAAAGAAGATATTTTGGAGAATGTCCGTGCAGTGCTTTTACATATATTGAATGTGGAGTGAAAATTATGAAAGTCTCATTGCAAATTTTTAACCTTACTTCAGACTTCCTTTTTCTCACAAGCCTGAATTTACATCTCACAATTTTGACTTTTTTCTTAAGATATAAATTTGCAATTGCGAGAAATATCAGACTTGTCAGATAACAGTCGCAATTACCTTTGTTTATTTTGTCTGGAAAAAAAGACCGAATCATGAGGAAAAAAAGTCAGAATTGCAATATGTAAACTCAGAATTGCTAGAAAAGATAGAAATCTGATTTCTATTTCCTTATTCTGACTTTTTTCCCTCAGAATCACGAGTTTATATCTCTAATTCTGTTATTGCAATTCTGAGAAAAAGTCAGAATTGTGAGATAAAAAGTTGCAATTACCTTACACAACTGATTAAACTTACCGGTGACAAGAATTACAAGTATTTTATATGGTTACAAAAAATGCCTTAATGAAGGTAAATATCAATTAAGGGGCAAACTATCACCACTTATATGGAAAAGCAACAGGATATTGTGTGAGTGAACCGTATTCTCATGCAGTTTCCTGCTCTTTACTCTCCGTTTTGTGATCATACACATAAACATAAACTTTAAAATGCACATTTGAAATCATCCATCTTCATCAAAGCAGGCCCTTGCGAATCTGCCATTGGGACACACTCATGTTGCATGTTTAAACGGGAATGCACTGCAAAGATAAAGCTCAATACAACAGATTGTGGCAACAAGAAAAACAAAAATATCTCAAGACCAAAAGCTGCCAGAAAAGGTTTCCACACAGTACTCCCACAAAATATCTCACGGCGTCTTGAAAATGTTATGTGAATTATGTTGAAACCTTTACTTTGCAACATGGGAAAAATAGTGAGCTTGAAGTTGATGTAACAATATCATCTGTTGACAACTGACACAGTGAAGAGGTGGTACATTTGCAATGCAATTCAAAGCATGTATATTTAAGGCATTTAGCAGATGCTTTTATCCAGAGTGACTTAAAAAGTGCTTTAGCTTCATAAAGCAAAGAAATACTTCAAAAGACAAGTGCATGGTCATGAGTTTTACACCAATTCAAAATCTTCAGTTAGGATCATCATCATCATTTTAATAACCAAAATAACCATTACATAACGTAGCATGTTCTTGCTTTACAAATGACGCAACGCACAACTTGTACCTGTTTAAAATAGACCAAACTTTGCATATTAAGGCTTTAATAGTCTGATGTGGGGAAAAGCTAGACCATGCTACATTTAGCAATAGCGCAGGGAGTTAAGGCTCAAAGGTGTCCCATCTGTTAATGATAGCAGTAAAATGAGCAAACATTACATTCATTCGTCAACAGTCTTAAAAACAAAAGTTGGATGGAGCTGGAAAGGACAAAAAGTAGCTCTGGTAAAAACTGAAAATGGTTGAAACAGATTTGCAATACAACGTATTCTTTTTCTATACAAACACATGAATATTTACAATGACGACAGTACAAAGGTAAACAAAAGTGAAGTAAAAAAAAAAAAAAATTTTTATATTTTCTTTGTAAATTATGAAACTTTATCTAAAAA